CTTTTTTGCAATTTCTGGTTCAATTTTTTCGAAATTTGAAGGCTCATATCTCGTGACCTTGACCTTTGATGAGATTCATATTTACCATGATGATAAAAGCTGACCTTGACCTTCTTATGACCTTTTGGTTTTATAGTGGTTTAAATATGGCCAATTTTCCCTTCTGTAGTGCTGTATCTAAATCCCTAATTGTATTACTATTAGCACGCTACCACCTTCAGATTATTTATGTACTTATTTAATGGTTTCAAATAATATCGCACTTGATGGTGTCAAAGCCATATTTAAAAAAATGTTGGAATTTTTTAAAACTTTGAACACTTCTATCTCAAAAGCTGAACCTTGGATGATGTTGATATTTCCAGTAATAATTAATATTGACTACAGCTTTTAGATGATGTTAATATTTTCATGCCTGATACGTGCTTCCGGTTTTATGGATTTTATAGATTTCACAACTTTCTTATTTCTTATCCAAATTTCACCAAACTTGGTATGTATGTGTATAATCAAATTCTAGATTTGATGGAAATATTGAATTTTTGTTAGTTGTGCCCATGCGCATTACCAACTTTCTTCTTACCGAATTTCATCAAACTTGGTCTTTATTAATTGACAAACATTCTCTTATTCTTAGTCAATATACTTTAAACTCCACGCACATCTTCGTATGTACCTGAATGTCGTAACACGCCCTGCATCAGTACTGTTAATAGAACAGTTCTAGTTTTGTTTGTATGTATATAATTTGGGAGAAATTTAAGAAGGACTTTTGGGCCAAATTTTTTACCTAAAAGATTAGTATTATTATTATTATTATTATTATTCCACTTTTGACGCAGCCCAGTCTAGATGTGACTAATTTGTTTAACGTATAAAACGTCTTGTAAGTAGTGTAATACAAATGAAATGAAATGAATGGAGTTTTACGTCCTACTTTTCTGCACCTTGTGGGCTAATGAAGACGGTGTAATACAAAGATACGTATTAAATCTATGGACTAGTTTCACTATGTTCAATATATATTTATCAATGTATTGTGTCTGGAGGCGGGTGGCTAGTGGAACCACACAGAAAGGTTTATTTTCGCATTTCTTAACGTAACAAATAATATAGCCAACAAGTATTTTACTAATGTTTATGGATTAATTTTAAACTTAAAGAACAAAACAAAAGAAAATATTTTCTATGTCAGCCGACCTGATAGATTGAATTTGATAAATATTATTAATTATGTCTGCTAACTGTATGTAATACACTGGTCTGATAAATAACACTGGTGGAACAAAATATATTGTTAGTCACATATTTCAAATATACTTTTATATTTCTATTTGAAAAGTTAAAAAATATGTAGATTACCTATGAAAAGACATCGGACAAAATCAATACTGATTTTCAATCATAGGCCAAATCACCAAAACCCACCATTACCATTTCATAATAAAGGCCGAAATTTGACCCGGAACTCATAATTATTGATATTGTTATAAGAATAAATCATTAAGATACTTTGGAAACTGTTTGTGTAAAATCTTAAAGGCACAGATGCGCCATATTTTTTGACCAAACATATTTTAGTCTATGAAACGGGAATGTTTAGATAAGCCAATCAGTAATAGTGTTCATAGCTCACCATCGAAATGTTAGAAAAAGGGCTTACAGTGGTTCAACCCGTAATGGTTTCCACCTTTTACAAGTTCAATGTGGAAGATCACGCGCAGTTTCGCCAGAAATACAGGTGAGCTAAACATTAATTTTTATGATCTTCTAAGCCTTATTTATAAGTGATACAAGTCTGTGATAATGATTTTTATCATTCTTGGCAAGCTTGATGTGAGCTGATAGTCTCTTTTATAAAGTACCCCACTGGAAATAAGTTTTTTTTACTTTTGCGGGCCATCCTAAGATATAAGGCTTCCGAACTGAATCTAGTCTTTTTCAGAACATTAGCCTAATCATTTAAAGTTTAATGCTCATGATAATTGTCAATTATTTCTGTGTCTGTTCCACCCCTAATCAATAAGTGGGCTGAAACTACTAAATTAGTATAGAAAGTAAGAAAAATTCGGATGGCATTCGGTGATAACCTACATTATACATATAACTACATAATCTAGACAAGGCCAGTGGCAGTAGGATAGGCCTACCTTGTCTACTGACATTGCCGAAGCCACCTTCTCCCATTCCTTGACTTTTTCATGATAAGAGATCCCGTGATAAGAGACCACCTCACCTCGTCAACCAAAATTTCAACTTCTAAAGAAGTGAAATTCGGGTTACGAGGTTGTGAAGAAGTAACACCGCCACAAGGTAGGCCTACTCCGTTGTAGGACGCCGTTTTGTAGTCTGCTAATGCTATCACAAATCACGTGACGCGAGACACGACGTCCTTTAGTGAAACAGGCGTAAGTTTCTGCGTAAGATTAACTTACGAAAAAATATTTTGCGTAAACTTACGCACTTTAGTGGAACGGGGCCCTGGTCTTTGACGTGTTTACTGACGTTTTGAAGTTTGTATCCTTCTGGCGTGTGATGAAAACTTGAACTAAACGTATAAGGGCATGCTTAAACGTTCAAGAACACCTGAGGCCAATTTGCGAAAATGCACAAAGCTTATATTGTTATTTAACGTTTTCGGTGGACTGATGTGATATCTGGATAAACACTACTATAAATTATTGAAGTTTATTTTTTTTTTTATCAGTAATAATTCTACAATTTGTATACGGCACCATTTAATTGTTGGAATCTGCGCTAAAAAATCTATCATTTTAACAATCCTGGCATAACTTCAATATAATAGATATCTTTTCATGACACAAACTAAATTCTTTGAAATATATTTATAAAATATTGAATAATCAATACCCTACATATCTGTCTAACATATTTTAAATTCTATATTACTCCTTACAGTAATATCAATAAACGAATTAAAGGGATTGTAAAGAGGGTTTATAAATCTTTTATGTGTATCGGGGACACTAGTAGAATTCATTTGTATCCTTTCAATTTTCAATCAGACACCTTTGAAAGTTTCCTTAATTCGCGTTTGGAGATTTTTCTGTTTCCTAAGAATATATGCCGTACTCGACAGTTCTGCACGTTTTTTCTTCAAGGCCCGTGGAAGGTCGGTTTGCACTGATTTTCCAGACAATCGTGCCTTATGT